ATCTATCTATCTATCTATCTATCTATCTATCTATCTATCTATCTCTATCTATCTCTATCTCTCTGTATATGTATATGTATGTCTGTATATATATACATATACTATATACCACGCGAGCAGAAAGTTTGAAAGCTAAGATACGAGAAGGAATTGTTAACCGCTTATATCTCTGCTGTTTAACACTAGTTTTACCGATATTTCTTATGTACCTATGTGTACGGGTCAATTTAACCCATGAACTCACGTTTTTAAAGGACTTGAGAATATAATCCTGTACAATGATCTTGAGATGTACATGAAATTTATATTTAACACTAGATTCACGTAACCCGTCAGTTTGGGGGATGAATATCTGTTACATATTGTTTGTTAATAGCTCAAGTCTTCTTTATAATTCTCTGCTCTTGAAATTCTAATTTCCATCGACTATAGAAATTTCTAAGAACGATAACGTGTATTAAGTGAATCTAGTGTTAACATTATACAACGTTACGTCTATTGTTACTTATAAACAGTTCCTCTAATTCCCTCAAGTTCAAGATGAGTCAAAATGATCCGCCCCGCAAGGTAAACCTAGCGTTAACGTTACAAAAAGCGAACATCTGATCTATTCACTTTGAAAGTAACTCAAGTCTATTTGACATTTCTATATTCTAAATAATGCTACCTCCATTTCATGTTGCTCTATGAAATCGTAAGCCATTCACCGTGTTAATCCTTACACTAATTACAATTCTATAAAATCTTATTCTTCAATAGTTCCTTAATCTTTTTCAAATGGACTCGAGTCACTGTCAAACTAAACAGTTCACTTATCAAGCCGCCTTCAAACTCGCTGCCGACAATGTGTTACATATACTACTGTCTTCTCGATGGTATGCAATGGATGTGCTCGTGCTCGCATAGTGCATCTGAATGATCACGACCGTCGTGACTATGCTGCACGAGCTGCGCGATTTACGTATTCCACTTTCATCGTGTTACAGAGGATTCACACGCCTCGACGTAAACAACAACGACAGTGCCGAACGTCGCTCGTGAACCGATTCGAAAACGAGACAACATATCCCATAATCCAGCGCCTCGCCTTCTCCACAAATACACGTTAGACGTCGTCGTTCCGCTAGACACACTAATATATATCTGTGAATCCCCTGGAACGCGATTACTCGACACATGATCCATCACGAACGAAACGCCAATGTGCCAGCTGCTTGTATGCCCTATAAAAGCATGACCGAGGCTGATTAGCGGACAACAGAACCTGTCGTCCCGCGAGAAAGAATCGGAGACGGCGTGAAATCGTTTAGTCACAATTGTTAACTGAAATCCATTCGACCAAGTAGCCGTTGGCCTCGAAATCCGCCGCGGGTAAATCGCGAGCCGCCTTGAAACACGCGTGTTCGATCCCACCGGTCTCGATCGAGGCTTCCACAGACACATAAAGTATTGGAAAAACGATGGTCCACGCCTGTAACGAGCACGCATCCGGATAATGATTGTCGATGACTTCATAAATGTTTCTTCTCCGTTTACCATGATAGTAACACATTGAATGCTATGGGGGTCACCGGTGACCTCCAACCAAATTGAATTACTATGATTCACTCAATTAAATGTTTGAAAACATTTCTATATTGTTGATGATATTACCTAGTGCGGCGACAGTAACACAATTCAATTCAGTGATTCAATGTTGTATCTTCAATATCGCATTCAACGTGTTGACACGTTCGCTAGCAGTATTTCGGTGACGGTCTCCTCGATTTTCTTAAATCCAATGGATCTAGAAATATTAGAAAAATGAAAATGAAACTTTAATGTACTATCTAATAAGAGTATGTATAGGATTAATTTGATTTTCATTGTGTAACATATAGGATTACCGCCGTTACGAATATGTGACGCTGGTAGCGAACGTGTGAATCAAATTAACCATGTTCGTCGAATAGTGCCAGAATTGCTGGCCTGCATCATCGAATTCAAAGAGCACCGTCCGGGGATGGCCAGAATCCTCGTCCTCTGAGAAAAGCCACTGCAAGGTGAAACCGTTGGATTAATCAGATTTATAGACTACAGGTGTCGCTCGATTGAGCTGGACGCGTTTAACCCTTTGCGGACGGATGTCGGCATCCCGGTGAGATGAAACGTTCAGATTTGGCAGACTAATTCTTGGACGAATGATCTAATTAGTCGGACAGCAAGAGACCAGCACATAGTTTCCCCTTAATTAACACTAGATTTACAGAACTAGTCAATTCGACTCACATTGAATTTTACAAGCATTATTCGCTAAATATTTGCCTCGATTTTTAACGCAGTTATGCAAATATGTATTCTAATTATCTACTCTTAAACCTCTAATTTCTAAGATCTGAATGAACGGATAACAATTTCCCTAAGAATAGAACAATACAGTAAGTAAATCTAGTGTCGAGCAATTGATATATAATTTAGCTTCATATGTTGTAGGTTGTATCGAAGAATCTTCGTCCGCAAAGGGTTAAATGATATTAAATCCCAATACATCAGTTACTTAGTGAACCTACGTGATCCGATCAAGGTTCAACAGGGGATGAGAATTCTGGCCATTTTCTGTTCGGTGTCGACGACGTATATGTATATGTGCTGATTCTGGCTTCTCTGTTTCTTGTCTGTTTCTGTCTGTCACTGGTATCTCTGCCTGTCTGCATGCTGTGGGACGCTCGGATTACGAAAAAAATACCGTGTACCGATCTCGATCGAAATCGCGCCGGGCTCGATCGACGATCGCTGACACCGTGGTGACACGCCGGCACGATGCGACATTGACTGACTGACCCGCGTGCGTCCGATCGTCACAGAGAACTACCACGGCTCTAACACTGTATTTTTAGTTGCTGTGCTCATGTCGGTGGTAGGGGGTGTTTTCATAGTATTTGCTCTGATGGCTCTCTGCTACAGGTCAGTCGTAGTACATAAAAACTACTCCCTCTGTCTCAGGTTAGTGTGCAGAAACATACACGTAGAAACTTTTTTGTATGCGTATCTATCTATCTATCTATCTATCTATCTATCTATCTGTCTATCTATCTATCTATCTATCTATCTATCTATCTATCTATCTGTCTATCTATCTATCTATCTATCTATCTATCTATCTATCTATCTATCTATCTATCTACCTATCTATCTATCTATTTATCTATCTATCTGTCTGTCTGTCTGTCTATCTATCTATCTATCTATCTATCTATCTATCTATCTATCTATCTATCTATCTATCTATCTATCTGTCTGTC